AGTTTAATCATACTTCTAATTATTTGACATTTACACTGGGTTTGATCTCTCTATTTAAAAGAGATAGAGACAGTTCTTTCTCATTGAATCTAGAAAAGAAATGAATTAACTCAGTTTTATTCATATTAAATTAAATTTGATTGATATCTACTCTAACAAAGATTTTCTTTGCAGCTTCTTCAATCACTTTCAAATTCTCTTTGATAGTTTTTGAGCTGTAGACTAGACCAATATTATTCACATAACTCAGAGATCTCACTATTCTCATATCTCTATTCTTGAATAGATATGCAGTGTATATTACAAATAAAATGAGTGAGATTGAAGATTCTTGTGATACTTCTATTTTTATCTCAGTCTTGTCTTGTTTCATTTCATCAAAGAAAAGTTGTATAATTCTTTTAAATATAAAACAGTTAACTCATTTTATTAGAGAAAGTGACAGTCTTAACATCTTCAATGTCTGAATTAGCTTTGACTTTGAAACATGATCAAATGCTTCTTTTATATCAATAAAAACTGCAGTTGAGACCAGATCTTCATGCTTTGCTATTTGAATATCATGAATAACTGAGAGAATAGTGTCAATTGCAGAACACTGTTTTCTATTTCTCATTTATTCACTGAATAAAAGAGAATTACTGACAGAGCTTATAAAAGATAGTCAAGTAGCTATTATCTTTTCTAAAATCTTTTCTAGACAGTTCAATAGAGATATTACTCTATATAACTTAGAAATTGAAGTTTTTCTATTAAGCTTTGCAAGAATCACTTCAGTGGCTTCTCTCCAGCATTCAGAATGATATCCATTTTTCAAGAGATTGAAAAAGAGCTCAAAATATTCATTCTTTAAGTAGAAGTATGTATTTTGAATAATCAAGTGATTAATTGAATCAGGTTCTGCAGCAGTCTTAACTGAACTTGAGAAAATAGCTGACTCTAATTTATCTTGAGTAAGATCAGGCCATTTTCAGTCATTTTCATCAATATAGTTAAAGAGTGATATATTCTCTTTCTCTGAATCTGAATCTGATGAGTATTAAAAGAGAGTTCTTATAAAAGCTTGATATTTTTTCTCAAAAGAGTTTACTGTATATAATTCATTCTGAAACTCATATTCTAAGGTTGAAAGTTTTGCTACACTTCTTGTTTTAGTATAGTTAAAAGCTTTAAAAACTTTCTTCTCTTATACTTCTTTAAGAAATTTATTTCAGCAGTCTGTTTTAGCTTTTTTAATATCTGAAAAATATTCATTTCTGACAGCTTTGAACTCTTCATCAGATATTATATTATTCTTTCAATCTCTTCTAGCAGTAGGTAATTCTTTTCTTTTAGATGAGATATTCTCATTTTATCAAGATTTTGAATACTCAGAAGATTTTCTCTTTGAAATATTATCTCTAACACTTGTTAGAATAATAGATGTAATAAGCTTCACTCTATTCTCAAGCATTTCATTTGAGATATCTTGACCAGAATTTCAATATAGCTCATTCTGTCTTTCAGATTTTAACAGTTTTATGCTTTCTTCAACTGCTTTTCAATCAGCTTTTTCAAAGTTAAACTAATTAGAGAGAAGAGAATTTTCACTCATTTGTTTTTCACTCAGTTCAATCTTAAATTGAATAATTTCATGATCTGATTCTGATATCTCATTTGAATTAATAAACCAGTTTACAAGTCTTCTTTTCATTAAATTTTATAACATGAAGATTAGATCTATAATAGATTTCTGTTTCATGTCTTTTCTAAAGAATGTTTGTTAATCAGACTTATTAATCAAATCTATTGAATGCTCAAAGATTCATTTAACTAGATTATCAGCTCTCACTGCTCTCTTGCATTCTGAATTTCATCAGAGATGATGTGCATTGAAATCTCCTGCAATTATAGAGTTTCTTAATGAAGTTATGTTCAGAAATCCTCTATCAATTATTCAGATATTATTATTTTTCTTCAATGACTTTTCATTATAGATATTTATGAGCTGTATAGTATCAAACTCATTTTCTCTATCTATAATATCACTCACCAGAATATCAGAGTCAGACATGATATCAAATCTTAGATTAAATTAATATCTTGATCTCTTTCTTTCATAGATTACTACTCTTGACTTTATCTCAGACTTTTGAGATAAAAAGCAGTAGTAGCTTAAATGAGAAATAACATATTTTTACTCAGTATTAAAATTCAGCTTCTGAAGCAGTATAAAATCAACTTTTTATTCAAATGTAATTTGAAGACAAGAATAAATACAATTTGAGTTTCTATTCACATTATTTTGAATAAATGTGATTTTTGAAGAGTTTTTAAACTTTTTTTGTTGTTTTTATTGTATATTCATACTAAAAGAGAGTAGAGTAGAATCTAATCACTATTATCAGATAGTAGATTATAACTATTCTTAAAAGTAGAAATCTCAACTGCTTACATTATATCTAGTTTATCATCAGAGTCATTTCTCAATTCTCTAATCTTAACAGAAGTTTGAGGATTCAAATTCTGTTTACATTTAGCTGAAGAATTAGAGTTTGAAGATTTAAATAGTTGAGAGTTTCTTCTTTTTGAGCTTGCAGTTGTAAGTCTACTGACTTGACTCTTCTTTTCAGTTCTAGATTGATTTTGAGCTTCATCTTTTCTCCAGTTCTTTTGAGTTCTAGAAGCAAACATACATTCTTTTGAGCTAGATGTATGTTTTTCTTTACAATTAGAGCACTTAAGCAGAGTATGTTGACAAATTTCACCTCTTTTTGAGCATGTTTCACATTTATACTCACTAGTTTTGTGATCTTTGACACAGAATGCACATTTTGAGTCTCTAAAATATGAGATTGCAAAGTATTCATATCTTTGACAGTTTGAACACTGTGTTTGAGCTTTGAGATTCATTCTTGAGTCTTTGTATTCATGAACTCTTATTTTCAAATCTACTACTCTTACTTCAGAGATCTTTGACTGTTCAAGTGTTTTTATATATACTAGAACAGAGGCATTTCTCCTGCTTTATTCAAACTCAATTGAATTTAGTCATACAGGCTTCTTTCTCAGTTGAATAGAGTTATATTCTTTCAATTCATTTTTGAGAAGTAGCATTTCTTCTTCACAGTCAAAAATTTCAACTGAAATATCATGAAGAATGAATTTATCTCACTTTTCATCTCTTTTAGATAGAATTATTATATTTAACAAAGATTCTACTGCTGACTTTCAGAGATTCTTATTCTGAATAAGAAATTCAGCACTGAATTCAGGCATTGTAGTCAGAATAATGAAGTTTTCAAAGAATGATAGCTCAATTGAAGCTATAACTGATTTTTGAACTTCAATATCAGTTATTAACTGAGAAAAGAACTGCTGATTAATTTCATTTCTGATTCTGAAAATGAGATTTGAGTTTAGCTTGTTTCTTTGCAGAATGTCCTGGTTTGAGACTTTGAGAATAAGTCTTCTATTTCTGAAGATTTGAAAGTTTTTCTCTTTTTATATTTTCTTTTCCACTTTTCTATGAATAGGGCCATGAGCAGTATTCTTCTCAGTTTTCTCAGGATTTTGAGCAGGTTTTGAGACAGCAGATTTAGAGACAGCAGATTCAGCTGCTTGAGCATATGTTTTCTTCTGATTCAAAGAAGAAGAAGAAGTAGAAAAAAAGAACAAAGAAAAGTAAGATGAAGAGTCAGTGATTGTACTAGGAATTTTCAATGTTTTTTGAACTGTGTTTGAGATTCCAAGTTTGAACTTGATCATCTTCTGTAGTTGTCTAGCCTGAGCATGAAGAATTAACAGAACTTCTTCATTCATCTCACTCAGACACTGCTTTTCAAGAATCTTGCTTACTTTTTCAAGTTTCTGTATTTCAAGAACTTATTGTTTCTCTATTTCTTCTTTCTTTCTTCTCTTCAGAATTTCAATCTCAGAAATAGCATTTGAGAAAGCATCTTTTTTTACATCAACTGAGTGTATTTTTGAACTCATTGTTTTCACTCAATGAAAAGTTGATCAGACTGTTTCAATTGAGATATTTCTAAGTCTGTTTTCAATTGAAAAGTTGGTCCAACTGTTTCAAAAGAAGTATAAAAGACTTTTGTGTATAAAACACCTGATTTTTTTCACACTAGTTCAGTAACTAGGTTAGATTTTTGAAGAGAATCTAATAAACTAAAATTGATTTTTGAGATAAATCAATAAAATCTTTATAATCTCTTTCTTGGGATACAGTGAGGAAAAGTATGATATCAATTAATAATAAATCAGATAATATAACAGTTTTTGAGAGAAAAACTGACAAAAAATAAATCAATTTTTTGCAGAGAAATTGATTAAAACTATTCAATTTTATTCTAAATTATTCAATTCTTCTCACACAACAAGTGTGCAACTCAAATCAGTTAATAAAGAGTATAAAAAAGAATTAAGTATTAATGAAAGCTCTTCAGCCACTGAAAAAGTTATTCTTACTTAAAAGAATATGAAATTATGACAGAAAACAGCTCTGTTTTTAATTCTTTGTAAGAATATTGTATAAAATCCAGAGAAAAACACCTTACTTTTTCAAGAGAAGTAAAAAACTATTTCTAAGATCTTTTTTTTTAATACATTGACTGCTGCAGAAGAATGAGATAGAAACTGCTAAGATATACACTACTGTATACTCTCTATCAAGACTTTCTCTCTTCAGAGTCTTGATATTATAGAGAATATATGTCTATTTCTATATGATAATATAAATATTGTCAGTGAGATGTAGAGGAACTGGTTATTTATATCTCAAAATAGAAGACTTTGTCAATGATTATATTAATATAGAGTTAATTCTCAAATTCAATAGAAACCTAGTGTTGCTGTTCTCAATCTCTTGCAGAATCTATTGAATATTGAGGTATTAAAACTAGATTTAATATATCTCACTGTGCAGGGATCAAAGGCTCAGTCAGATCTTGGAATATACTGATTTTATAGTTGTTGATGTGCTGTTGACTCGTTGTCTGTTGATTATGTGCTTGATATTATCACCGAGGTATCTTTTTGTATTTTTCTGCCGGGGATGGGCCAGATTGGGAAGGGCGGTACGAGGGTGGGACTTGGCGTTGGTGTTTTGGAACATCAAAGATGGACAGGGTTTTCGCGGAGGTCGCTCCTCAGATATCTCCACAACTACAGATCGGGGATCTTCCAAAATCGAGAAGATTGGTGCATACGGCTAGGTCTCTTCACCTTACAATTTGTATGGCAATTTGGCCCGGGGTTGTGGTGTGGTAGGGGAGAATGGGGGATAATCCCACGCAGGAGTTCCGAACGACGTCTGGTTCACGTTTGGCTGGATAACTCCACCACCACACGGGGTATGCGGTCGGCGATGGGGTCAAAATGCTCGTATGATCGAGGGCTTTTCGATGGATCTATCGGCGGGTTCTTATTCGAAAGATCGAGCGAGTTCGTGGTGGAGCGGTTGAATGATGAGATCTAAACAGTGCTGTGATAGCTTCAGTGCAGAGAAAGTAAAGAAGAATTCTAAGTATTCTGATTCTTTACTCTCTATGAAGAAATATTAAAAAAGATTTGATAAAGATCTCTGTTTCAACTGTGAAGCTAATAAACACTATATCAGTGATTACAAGAAGCTGAAGAAGAGAAGAAACTGAGAAGATATCTTCTTAAAGTCAACTTCTCTTCTGACAAATGTATCTGTGAAAGATAATGAAGAGAAAGAAATGAAGAATTAATAATTCTCACATCTTCAAGTTCATATTACAATCATAATACATATCTCAAATGAGAAGATATCAGTGAGATATCTACTCAACTCTGAAGTGAATGTTAACTTCATATTCTATTTCTTTTCTTTAATGAAGAGTTGAAAGAAGATAGATTTATCAGATTATGCAAAATTTACTGATGAAATGAAATGTCACTATTTTAGCATAATTCAAGTGAAGTGTGTGACTACAGACTTAGAAGAAATCTTCAAGAAGAGCAGTCTGCTTCTTCACACAGTTAATATTATAGATGAGAACATCATTCTAAATCTTCTATAATTGAGAGAAAACAATTCTCTCATTGACTGAGTTATTCAGGCATGACAGTACTGTCTTACTGATAAAGAGACAGTGATAGAGAAATCTGAAGAGTTTCATCAGAAGAATCTTGAGAAAAAGATTGAGTTAATATACTGTGTAGTAGATGATTGAGACTTGAGAATAGATAAAGAAGTTATCATTCTTACTGCAAGATTAGCAGCAGTATTCATCATTGAAGATGAATATATATGACATCTCTTTACAGATTTTAAGAATGTCTTTTCAGAAAGAGAAGCAGTGAAGTTTTCTAATATCAAGATATAACATAAGATTTATCTTGAAGATAGTGTAATGATATTATACAGGCCTCTTTACAACTTATCTGTAAAGAAATTGAATGTTCTGTACAAATATCTTAAAGAAGCACAATCAAAGAACTGAATATATTTATCAAAGAGTTCAGCAGAGACATCTATACTCTTTATACTCAAGAAGAATGATAGGCTACACCTATGTGTAGACTACAGAGGTCTTAATAAGATAACAGTTAAGAATTGCTATTTATTACTATTAATTGATGAGATAATTAATCAATTATCTGAAGCAAAGATGTTCTCAAAGATTGATATACAGAATATCTATCATAGAATCAGAGTTAACAAAGATGATATTTGAAAAACAGCTTTTCATACCAAGTACAGCAATTTTAAATATCTTGTTTTATCTTTTGATCTTTGTAACACTTCAGCTATCTTTCAGATCTATATAAATGAGACACTGTGAGGCCTTGTCAACATCTTCTGCATAGTATACCTGAATGACATTTTAATCTTCTCAAAATCAGAGAAAGAACATGATACTCATGTTCAAGAAGTGTTGAGTTGCTTGAGACAGTATCAACTCTATATAAACACTGAAAAATGCTTGTTCTATATACAGAAGATTGATTTCTTAGATTATATTATTAAGATGAATAACATTTCAATGAACAGAAGCTGAGTCTTTATCATTGAGAACTGGTCAGCACTGCAGACATACTGTAAGATATAGATGTTTCTAGAATTTATAAATTTCTACAGATAATTCATCTATGTATATTCATAGATTACTGCTCTTCTTACAGATCTGTTAAAGAGAAGTGTGAAAGATAGAAAAACAAGACTGTTTACTCTCACTCAAGACACTGCACAGATATTTGTGAAATTGAAACAAGCTTTTACAGATATCATGATACTGAATCACTTTAATTCTGACTTACTCAGTCAGTGTGAGACTGATATATTCAGAAATGAAATCTGTGAAATCTTTTCACAGTTGTCACTGAAGATCTTTCAATATTGAAAGAATCAGAGAATAATCACTTGTGGTTCGGAAGAACGTACAACTGTCGGATAATAACGCGGCCGCTTCTGAACTACTAGCGTACGCGTACAAGTGTAAAGGGGCCATAGCGGCTGCTAATTAATTTAGCATATGATATTACAATATATAAGAAGCCGGCGTACACCTGTAATTGTACACAGGCTTAAGCAACCTTTGAATCACATCTGATAGCATGTCTAAAAACTGATGAGAAGTGCAGGCTTCTTCAGAATATGATAATTCCATCTATGAAGTGATTTGTAGTTATCATGCCAGTGTGATTCTAGAATGTCTCAAAAGATAGTGTACAAAGAGTGATGAGTGAAAGAGCATCTGATTGATACTGCTTCACTTATTGAGGGAAAACTTCACACTCAGGTGAATACTATGTATGCAAATGAATGAGATGTGAGAAAGAGAATGAGAGCAGTGAACCAGATTCAAAGAAGTCTGCTCCCTACTCAAAAGAAGAATAAAAAGAGAGAGAGTGATCATCACTGAAGTTATACAATGATAACAGAAATCATATAATGATATAGTGATATAACAATATAGTGATAGAATAATATATCAATATAATGACACAGTGATATAATAATAGACATTATACAATCAATGAGAAATCACTGAGATGAATATCTTCTCTAGTTAATACAAATAACATCCTTCTCTGCTATCTGAACTGAAAGATATGCAGAACCTCTCAGAGAGCTTACTTGAAGTGATAAGAAAAGCAGCTGAGACTGCTGAACTGGAATTGAAGCTCTGTACATGTATGAGAATTCTAAACAAGATTGAGGTCTTGCATACACAGTGGCAGACTGAGACAGAAGTCAAACAATAATTGACATTCACTGCAGATTAAGCATTCACTATGAAGAGCTTCACTGACACAATCATCATCATCAATAAGAATAGAGAAAACCAGATCTTAGGCCTGCAGCAGAAGATTGAATGTTTACATAGATAGATAACTATACTGAACCTGAAGATCTTATCATGATTGTTCATGATCTCTTCAGAAGTATACATATTATCAGAGATCACTGTGCAGAATGAGAATCTGAGCATGAAATATATCAAGTTAGAAGATCTGTCAGAGTCATTAAGCTTTAATAGCAACTGAAAAAATGATGCTGCAATCAGCTGACTAAGTCAGATATGATCATATTATCAGATTGAATGTGAACTCACAGACAGGCAGTCAATGAAATTTCAACAAGTCTTAAGATCTGTCACATTTCTACATAAAAAAGTGAAGTCATTATAAATGACTGATGAAAAAATGAATCTCACAGACCTGAAGTGATATTCATTCTTATAAACATGAAATGAGTTTTTCAAATGAATCTTACATAACTTTGAGAAAGTGAATATATGAGATAAGTGTTATAAATACTTCACTGAGTGTAGATAAGTAAGTGATCTTACATTATACTTCATACACTTCAGCTTATACTATCATACATTGAATGAAGAGCTTTCAACATCTTTCTGTTTACAGATCTTTATTCATAATCTTACACCTGAGTTGAGAGTAGAATGAAAATGCTTAATCTCACAGTCAGACACAGTGAAGAAAGCATACAATATTCTCATTATACAGGAACAAGTGAGTCAATTATGACAGAAAATACTGTAATCAAGTATATCTCAGTGAAGAATGAGTAATCAGACTTCTATGATACAAGTTACACATCTGAATGTGATAAATCTAGATCTGAATATCATTGCTAAAGCACTGAATTCTCTGAAAAAGAGATTCTCTGAGTGAAAATCTTAGTATCATGAGCATCAGACTTGCTTCAACTGTGAATATCAAAATCATGATATAAAAGATTGCACTCAGCATGTACAATCAAGAGAAGCAAGAGAGTCAAAAAACTAGCAGAATCAGTGAGCTCAGAGACACTCACTGATATTCTATGAAAAGTCTTCAAAGTGAAAGAAATGTCTGTGTTAGATGACTCTCTGAATTCTGTGAATGTAAAGAAGAAGCAGACTTCTGAATAAGATGCAGATAAGAATAATGAAGTGAATACTCATCTCAATACCTTGAGACCTGAAATGTTAATGTATAGAGAGTACTTGAATAAGAATTGAGAGATGGCTGTAAAAGTGTTAGCAGATACAGAAGCTTCTATACAATATATTGATAATTATATAATCTGAAGATTGAAAGAGATTTATCAAGTGAAGAATCTCTGATATATAAGATTATCTGATAACTGATATTTAATATCATCTGTAAGAGTAAGAGTTCTCTTGCACTTCAAAGAATGATCTTGCTATATTTAAGTGTGAGAGCTGCAGAATGTGGAATATGATCTTATTCTTGAACTTGATTGATTTCAAAGGTTCAATCTGCAGATTCAATGATGTACATGTCATATACAGTTGATTGATAGAAAGAAAACAGTTCATACAATTCTATTAACTGATATGAGAAGAACATTTCATATCTCTGATATAGAAGGGTTAAATCTGCTTATACATTAATAAGTAAAGAGAATGATTTATAAGACCTCATCTGAAAGTATTCTGTATATCATACAGAACTCAGAAGCAGAGGAAACCAAGATAAAAGATATGTGAGAGAATAAGCATATGAAGAAGCTTCTGAAGAAGCATAAAAAGATCTTTCAAACAGATCTTTCACTGAAATTGTCACTGAAACAAGGATTTATACATGAGATTGACATGAAGAATGCAAAATCAGTCAATCAGAATGCATACTCTCTGTCACAAATGCATCTCAAAGAACAGAAGTGTCAGATCACAGACCTTCTAGAATATAGTCTCATACAATTCTTATCAAGCATATGAGGCTTTTCAGTTCTATTTATGAAAAAGATAGATGAGAAGTGATGAATATATATCAATTACTGAGCACTTAACAAGCTTATAATCAAGAATGAATATTCACTGTCATGAATTCAATAACAGTTGAATATGATTGAAAACACTTAATATCTATTGAAAATTGATCTTCTCTCAGAATACTGGCAGATCTATGTAGATGAACTATCAGTTCTGTAAACCACATTTAATATATAATAAGAGAAGTTTGAATTCCTGATAATGTTAT